AGAGTGGGATGTACATGAGGTGCTCTGACAAAGGGGTCCTTGATTCTGGATCTGGGTTTCCTCTTATCGTAGTCACTTACAGCACCTGTTGTGTGACTTCGGAGCATACCATAAGACTCTTCTGGTTTCCCAGGCTTTTTCCATATGACAAGAGATTGGGGTAGTTGGAAGAGAGGCAGTTTGTTTCTGTTTTGGGTTGCTCTTATTGATCCATTGAGATACTTGATTTGTGCTGGAAATGGCCCAACTTGACTATCATACACATTGTAAGGAGAGTGATCACTTTAGATAAGCTATTACCAGCAGGAGAGTGGGGTGGGAGGAGGTATTGTTTCATGGTCTCTGTGTATATAATGTCTTCTGCAGTTTCCACAGTATGCAGCCGATGAAGTGAGCTGTAGCTCACGAAAGCTCATGCTCAAATAAATTGGTTAGTCTCTAAGGTGCCACAAGTACTCCTTTTCTTTTTGCGAATACAGACTAACACGGCCGTTACTCTGAAACCTTGGTTTATAATAGTTGCACAGCACCCAGAGCTCTATTTATAAATTTAAACAAGTAATGGCAAGTGCAAATGTGTGTGCATATGAATTCCCAAACATGACTTTCATGCAGAACTTCCCCTCCATTAAACTACTGGGCCTGAACAATCTCTCAGAGTTTGCATAAAAAACTGCATCTGCACTGCACTATATTATATTATATACACCATTTGTTTTTTCTTTCTAAAACTCGTACCTGTTAAAGTAGTTGCATTATTTTTAGTACAATGGTGAGTTGTTTTTTCTCCTAGTTGAGGTGTATCCTTTCTCTTTTGTTCAACAATAACATGGCTATCAGCTGCCTTGCCTGATGATGGTGAAACTCAGATGCTGAGGTCTGCAACGTATTTGGCCAGAAACAGTTTTCTGGCTGCCTTGCTAGTTATGATAGTGGCAATAGAACTGCTTCTGGAGTTTGGACCTGTGGGGTTACCATTTTCCTTAGAGTAACAATTTGGTATCTTTCATGTGCATCAATGAAATTCGAAAATCCTATTCAGATGCCATAGGAACAGCTCTCTAAGCGACATTAACTCCAATTCTGCCCTATTCCTTCCCTGTGGAGAGGAGAACAGTATAGGGGTAATTGGGGTGGCAGAATATTAACAGCATAGAGTCTTGTAAGACGTACTGCCAAGGAGAGGGTCGTCAACAGCAGTGTGGTCAGGCAGTCCCTCTGCAGAATTGGAACTGTTAGTTCCCAGTGATCCCTCAGGCCTGTGAGCTTTGGGAGCTATGTCCCTAACCTCCAGGATCCCTGTCATTTCCACAAACTCTTCCATTTGAGGACAGTAACAATGCATACTAGCTCAATGAGGTAACCCTGGATTTATACTGGTGAAACTGAGACCAGATTTTGACCCACTGTCTGTCTCCTTATTCCATAACAGCAAAAAAACATGGGGGCCAATATTCCACTGCCTTTTACACCATGTGCTCTGTTCCCCTCCCGTGGGTGTTATTGAGGGTGCTATGCAGCGCTTAGAATCTAGAATGTAATGTATGCAATGTAAGCAAGTAAGGCACTGTGCCTCTTTCTCTACTGACTTGGACCCTGTGTAGTCGTTTACCCCTGTACAAAGAGAATGCAAAACACTATGTTGCACTCTCTCTACAAAGGGGTAAACGAGTACATGTTGTGCAAGGCAGTGGATTATTGGCCCCAACAGTTTTTGCTGCTATGGGATAAAGAGACAGACAGTGGCTCCAAATCTGGTCTCGGTTTAACCAGTGTAAATCCAGGGTTACTCCACTGAGGTCATACGTATTGTAGCAACTTCCCAACATTTGAGGCTTGATTCTACCATTCTTATGCATGTTGCCTAGTACCTTGGTATGTGAGTGGTCAAATCAGTGGGACCAATCATGCACTAAGGATGGTGGAACTGGACCCTCAAATGATTAAAATATAGTTCCTTTTTATAAACAGTATTTCAAATGCAATTAATCTGGTCTGAGATAGGATTTAAAGGATCTAAAATCTGTTTCTGATCTCACCAGTGATGATGTAACTCCTTTGAGTTCACCAGAGTTACTCCTGATTTACACTAGTGTAACTGAAACCAGAATCAATATCTAAGAAGTAGATATTCCATTCTGAATGTAGTAGCTGTTTAAGTGTCGTGTTTGCTAATGTGGGTAGCCCCACCAAACACAGGGCAGTAAGGATTTGCAGGACTGACCCCTTAGTTTGCACATAATGCCCAGTTGTGGTTGGTTTGTCTGTGGGATTTTTTTCCCTCTGTAACTCAGTTATCTAGGAACACAAATCTTACAGTGAGTTTTCATCTACTGATGTAATTTGGAGGTGCTATACTTAAATTTCCTTTCATGGGGTGAGGGGAGAGATTAAGGAAACATTGTCTCTCATCACTTATACCATTGATTAGGTAGAAAAGGCATTGCAAGCTTTAGCTGAACTTTCATCTCCTGCACTATTATTTGCCTTTTAAAGCAAGGATAGTCACAACCTCTCCAAAAGGTCTAAATGATGCTTTAAGACTATTGGTGATTTCAGCTGTTTAAACACAAACACACACACACACACACACACACACACACACACATGCCCATGTATGTCTACAGAGGCATAGGGATCATTTATATATGTGTATATACAGTGTGCATATGTCTCTGTACTAAGAAAGGGACAGAGAGACTGAAGGAAAGATTTTATATCTACATGCAGTATGTGCATACACACCTAGCATTTACATATGGAGACAAAGATATCTTTACCTAGACGATAGACAGACAAACAGACTGACTGACTTCAAACTTGCACTTTCAGTGTGGCTGTTCCCCCCACCCCCACCCCCGCATCTCCGGGTACTGCTTTTCAAAACTGCCTGAGGCTACAGTACAGCACCTCAGATCCCCAAGGCCCATTGCCTGGCTCCTAATAGCCACTCTCCATCTGTGTCACATGAACAGCTGATGAGATAGCTCCAATGTCTGTATTTTGGAGAGCACATCCACCCAGGTTAAAATGCTGGGGTTGCCAAGGAGCAGTCAGAAGCCATTAGTGTTTGTGAGAATTTGCCTTGCAGCAGTTCCTTGGCATAGTGGAAAGGGTGTGTGTGTGTGTACACGCACACGAGGGGTAGGGGTAGGGGTGGGAGACACGGGGACAGCCTGGTAGGAAGGAGTTCATTCTGAATAACCACCATTTCTCAAAAGTAATTGGTTTGTAACACTGTATAGGACCAGGCATCATTTCTTTTGATTATTTTTGCACCCATTTGACTCACCTTTATTTTATCACTAACAGAAGCCAACAAAAAAGAGAGCCGCGACTTCAGGGTCTTGCTCTGGTGTTTGGGCAGATGGAAGGGAGCTGCTCTGCCTTGGGGCAGGGTGGTTGTAATGAAGTGGCCTGTCAGTCTGTAAATAGTGAGGGTCATCTCTTCCATGTGATGGAGGGTATCACATTGCAGTGAAAATGGAAATGTCAATAAAATTAATCTGCCAGCTCTTTGCTGTGGCTTTTCCATTTCTCTGGTCCAGGAGGGTTGTGGGGTTGTTGGTTTTTTTTTTTTTTTTGCAAGGGGAGGTGGTGGAAGAAGGGTGAGTGGACACGCGGGAAATAGATGAAGCTGAAATAAAAGTTTTGAAGTAAATGGTCTATATGTAGCAGTAATGTATTTGTTTTAGTAGCACTAAAGAGCTAGAAGAGGCTATAGGAATTAGCTCGTGGATCTATAGCATTCCTCAGGAAGCTATGGAGCGTCTAGCTCAGGCTACATTGAGCACAGAGTTTATTGTTTTAGGCTTTCTTGGACAAGGTTTTTACTTAGCATGGGATTTATGGCATTTACTGCTAATGAATGTCTATTCTTAAATTACAAAAACCACCGTCTCAGCGCAATTCCCAGATGTCCTTCCAGGACCTCAGCTTCTTAAACACCAGCAGGGAGCATAAACTCTCCACTTCTCTGTTTTCCTCTTTCGTGTGGCTCCAGGCTAATGATGTGTAAGGAAAACATAGCAATCTATAAAGTCTCAGTGCTGTCCCAGTATTCTTCATTTATTTTGCATTTGATTATGCCACAAGTCGGATCTTGTTTCTTTCCTTTTTTAAAAGTTATTAGTTCAAATATTAATGTAGGAATATGGCATATATTGCTGCTCTTGATTGATGCCTTCCCAAAAACAGGAAGACGTGCTCGTATGAATTTTAAGAAAGTAGGGGTCCTGCAATGCCTTGCCAGAAGAGTTTTTCAGATACATAATTTAGATGCCCTCCAGGCAGGCTTTCAAGGCATTTTTGCTGGAGGGCAAGAAAAAATAACTATGACTGTTAAAAGTAAATGATTTTTGCTAATGCACAATTAATGCCAGGGAAAAGCACAGAAGAGAAAGATGTTGATGGAAAGTTCTGATTAAGTGAGCACCCTACCTTGATGTGCATTTTTTTTTAATGATAATGATCACTGATGCAGAGATGTAGAAGTTTTCATGTCATGCAAATGCTATGTGCAGGATCGTATACAGCGTGTGTGTGTAGGGAGGTGATAGTTATGGGGAGGGGCTGATCTGACAGCACCTATGCAGAAGGCCTAGAACATATAGACTACAGAACATCTAAGCTGAATATATACAGTATGTATTCAGTAGGGTTGTAGGCATGCATTTACAGTGAATAGGGTTTCTTGTGGCAGGTTTTCCCACATTGAATCCTGTAATTGACAAAGAGCTATTGCACTATGTCAAGCACACAATTATAATTGAATTAATGATATGTGCTTGTGTGAGACACAAAATTAGTATTTGGAGAGACATGGTTTCTAATTTTTACACATTTGTATCAGCAATCATATTTAATGAGAAAATGTATGTGCCTGATGTTCTATCAAATCAAAATAAAGCTGCATTAGTTTCCCAATAATGAACGATACCTTTTAGTTTATATGTTTTGTTTATTATGTCTCCTTCCCCTTATTTTGTTCTTTCTTTTAGGGGATGGTTTAGACAACAGCGTAGCCTCACCTGGTACAGGGGACGATGATGATCCAGACAAGGACAAAAAGCGTCAGAAGAAAAGAGGCATTTTCCCCAAAGTAGCTACAAATATCATGAGAGCGTGGCTTTTCCAGCATCTCACAGTAAGTGGAGACCAAAAGAATAAAAACATAAAGAATAGATTTTTGTTCACATGCCTGATGAGGTTTATTCATTATTATTAGAAATCAATTGTCCCCATAATTTTTGGGAAGATAGTAGGGATCAATGATCACTTTTATTTTTTCTAGAAGCTTATTTATTTATTTATTTAATTTATTTCAGTCTAGTAATCATGACAAGTGGAATATACATCATAAGATGTGAGCATGAAACAACACTAGAGCAGAAGGCAGCCATTTTTTGTTTACATTCCAGTAATGAGAACTGTTCAAAGTGTTGTTAAGATGAAAAGGGGTTTCTACATTTAGAATATAGTATATATATGAGGACACTAATAAGGGGGTTGAGTAACTCTACCCTCTGGATTGTGTTATTGTTGGCCTCTGTTTACAACAAACCTCATATGTTTTAGAAGGAAAGTAATACTCTCCAATGCAGGTATTTCAACAAACATTGTAGGATGCTAGAGAAGTCATGAAGCAGCTTGCAAACTTGTCATGTGTTAGTTTACATGAGAAATATAGATGGGTTATTGGTTCTCTAATTCCTCTGTTCTGTAAAACAGAGATCAAAACACCTTTTTTAGCTGTTATTCAAGTCCATTATCTTAAAAGCTAGCCCTATTCTCTTCTGGGGGAAAGAGATTAAATACGTGAAAAAGCAACACTTTTAGTAACAATCTAGCTTTATGCTCCTGTTTGCAACTGGTTTTATGTGTTGGTGTTCTGTTGACTATTACAGCTTCACTTGAACATCAACATACATTTTTGATGAAGAACTGGTAACTCTCCTATAGTTTACTATTCAGATGGAAATGCTAGAAAATGGTAAAATGATCACTGATGATTATTATTATTGATTTTTTTTCACCCCTTCCTATAAAATTGTTTCTCACCTATTCTGTTTGGCCTAATGGTTAAAAAGATAATAGCATGGTTAACTACCTCACATAAGAGCTTCTTTGTGAATACCAAAGTTATACAGTTCCATAGTGGTTGACGTTAGTTACAGTGTCTTGATTCCAGGACAAGGTACCCCTTTTATTTATGGTAGTGACTATTGAACTGCTCTGCTGGTAGAACAGCTAATGGGGGGCGGGGGCGGGGTGGGGGAGGAGAGAGCAATAGATCCACATTTCTAAACCATCATTTTGATGTAAGGACATTAGTAGCAAACTAAGGTGCATTGATCTGGCCTGTGGGGTCAGGATTAGCTAGAATAGCCAGTGTCTCTGCTGGAGTAGTGGTTATTCTTGCCTTCCAGCTATGGCCATTTCAAAGGTCAGGTGCCCTGTACCCACTTGGCTCAGAGGAATTAGACAGAACATGAGTCTCTGGGCTGATTACTTAACCAAAGACAAAATAATGAGTCCTAAGCAAATACTGACTAATTGAAAGGGCTGTAAATCCATTACATATTGGTCAGGGATAATCAGGAGTATTTAATCACTTTTATCTATTCAGGAGCACTGAAGCTGCAACAGCAAAGCCCTGAACCTTGCCATGTGCTTATTATTCTCATCATTATCAAAATTACTTCACAGCTGTTCTTTGCTACATCACCTCAGCTGGAGATTTACTAACCTGTAAAATGTTTTTAATTTGGAATTCGAGTGAGTGTGAAGGGAGGGAGTTTCATTTTTAGCTGGAAAGTATGGCTACTGAAACAGCAAGGGGAAACAGCTAAAACCACCGGCCACAAATAATCCATTTTCTTTCACACAAGCTTGCATGTTCATTTCCTTAACTCTTACCAAAGTTTTCAATTTCTTGTTTTTTTTACCCCTGCTTCCTTTCTTTCTTGTGTGCGCATTGAAAGCATTCAACACATGCTTACTAAACAATCAGCTATCTCTCGGTTATCTTGAGAAAAATCCTCACAGTTTTGCTTTTTGGAAATCCACCCCCTCCATTCTCTGCCACCTCCTTCACCCCAGATGAATTGAGGAAGTTCAGCATCTTTGATGAGGATGTTCCTGGAGGAAGGAGGGAAAAAAAAACACACCCAAAACCAAGAAACCTTTTACCTTCCAGGCTTTAATGAGTTTGCATGTGCTGAAAGATTTACTGTGCTGTAATTCTCAGACCTGAGACTGATAATGGAGACCCCTGACTAGTGCAATGTAAATTCAGAAAGGTTTTTGCCATAAATGCATGCAGCAAAGGAAGAGAAATCTTTTTTCTAAATATCCCTCACTTTTTCTCAGATTAGCTTGTCCATTCAAAGTGCGACGCCAGCTCTATCGCAAAGGGAATCTATGATGTATAAATTATTGTTTCAAGTAAATTTCTTTACAAAAGGAGTCCATGATTCAATATACATTCCTTCATTACTACTCTAACCTTATTTCAAATTGGTTTGTCCCTCTTTTGTGCTGTATGACCTGTTCTTGTATTACAATAATCCCCTGATGTACCTCTTTCTTTCTTTCTTTCTTTCTTTCTTTCTTTCTTTCTTTCTTTCTTTCTTTCTTTCTAAAGAAACTAATTGAATTATCTCATTATTTTAATTTGTTAAGCAAATGTATTTTACATCTCAGGATGTGTTCTTAAAGAAGGGGCTGCTTAGGCTTTGCCCCTTGAATGGGACATTGGTGCATTTTGACATTCATGCATTCATTAAGGAAAGGAACATAAAAGAACTCTGGTTGTATTTTTTTTTTCAAACACCCAACCAGCGTGGAACAACTTTTTCCATAAACCACAGGGGTCTCGCTACATATGTTCTCAACTGCAAGCCATTGTCACCTAGTCTGAATACCTCAAGAGGACAAATAAAAAACTAAAGGCCAACTGTAGCAATTGTTAGCTGTTAGTCTCAATATGACGAAAATCATTAACCTTTGGTTTTCCTGGAAGAAGCAACTCCAGTCTATCTCTTACAGCATTGACTAAGCTCCCAAATTCCTTTAGACTGTCAAATGTAGTGGGAGAGTAATTCAGTTCTAACTAACTGTATTCATTTATTACCTTTCTTTAAAGAAAATGTTACCTTTTTTTCTTTATGAAATATTCAGTTATTTTACAATCCCCTAAAATAACCTAATTTAAAAATTGAGTAGCTTCTTCATACAAGCTTGAGTGACTTTTTGAAAAGAGACAGGTGCTTGAACTCTCGTGTAGAATTAATGTATCCCGCAGACTGTGGCTTTCAAAATTGCCTTCATACCTTGTCACCTTTTCCATTTTGCAGGAACTTTAATTATATTAGAAATAAGATACACGCACATGTTTTTGTTGATGGAAATAAAATGTAAGGAATAGAAATTTCTGTCATTTCCCAGTTCAGTTATTGGGATCTGTCTTACATTTGGAATTACAAGGGGACAGGAAGATGAAAAGATCTGAGGATAAATTGGTTGGAAATGTGTATGCTTTTTCTGGATAATGTCCAGTGTTTGAGAAAGTAAAGGAAATCCTAGTGTGGTAGAATAAGCTTTTCAATAGTACATAAAGATTATGATATCAGAAAGGTAAACCTGACATTAAGGCTGTTTTTATTTGACTTCAAAGATAGTTAAAGAAAAGAAACAGCAAGAATCTGACCCAAGCCGGGAGTTTATTCATAGCTTTGGAAAGCTCCTTTTCCTCCATGCCAAGGAGCCCTTAGTACACTCAATTAGCCTCTCAGACATCTCGCTTTCCTCCCTCAAGTGCTCCCTATTTGCCCTGCAAAGAACATATTTGATCATGGAATGAAAACAGGAAGTGCTCAGACACAAAGACACCCCTTGCTCACATCAATTTTGAGCTAAAGGTTTTCTTATTAGCAACCATTGGGGAAAAAAAACAGTGCTGTAGTTTAAAAGGGTAGAGAGGACTTTGAAAAATACATGTACATAATCAGAATTGAATGTAGTCATAAAGGAAGTAATTACATTGTTCCATGGTCTTGTACCTTTTGTAATTCATCCTTTGCTTCAGCAAAGAGAATGAAGAACTACACTTTTAGTCCATCCACTATGCTCATTTTTTCCCTCTGGTGTAGTGCTGGTAAAACAGATGATACAGTTATGTTTGTGACACTTATCTGGAGTGATCCCTTTTGTTCAAGTTCTAATTTGCTATTGTTCCTTTTGTTCAAACCTATAAATGTGTATTTTAATTAAAAGTATATATTTGTCTTTGGTACAAAAATACCACCTTTAGTATGCACACTAAAAAATTCCTTTTGTGAATCATTGGGTCACATTCTCAGCTGATATAAATTGGCATAGCTCAACTGAAGTTAATGGAACTATGCAGCTTTAAATAGGCTCTGGCCTATGATATCTTTTAAAAACAGTATCAAATAAATCAGACTAAAATGATGTCTAGAATAAAAGAACTGATATTGTGGGAAAAACACATTAATTCCCTCCAAATAGTTAACTTGTCAAGTTTGTGGGCCAAATTCAGGTCACATCTACTGAAGAGTAAATCCATTCACTTCAGCTGATTTAGCCTGGATTTATGTTGATGTACCTGAGATTACACCCTGGCCCATATCTTGTTTAAATGAGTACATCACCTAACCACTTGTACAAGTGTCTCCATGGATCCGATGAAGTGAGCTGTAGCTCACGAAAGCTTATGCTCAAATAAATTGGTTAGTCTCTAAGGTGCCACAAGTCCTCCTTTTCTTTTTACGAATACAGACTAACACGGCTGCTACTCTGAAACCTGTCATGGAGACTCTGTATGTATTAGACATTTTCACTACACTTGGTCTTAGAGCAGAAGACCTCTGAGCAAAGCCAGTTTTAGCACTTTTGAGTAAGCCTGAAAAGCAAATATTCACTCTCCCCCATTCATAAGTGGCTCCCATTCATCATGATCATATCAATTTGCAGAGGATCGGTGAGTGAGGATTTTGAGGAGGAATAACAAGATAATTCTTTGGGGCACCCCAAATTAACCAGACTCCATTTATAGAAAACTGTGGCGAAGCAACTTCAATACACCACCAGGCCCCTGCTATAGAAGTGCCTCTCAGCTGTTTG